GGCTGAGAAGTGAATGCATTGCCCGGAGCCATTTGGTGAGGTAACAGGAGAGACAGAGTTAAAATTCAGGCAAGCCTGGTTGTTAATGACTGTTATTCCCCAGTCTTTCAGACGCTACAGCTGGCACCAGGGCTCCCCTGCATGTTCTGTTCAAAGATAAAATGAGCAGCAACAATATCCCTGAAGAGCTTGTAAGGAGAGTTTTCTTGACAGAATACCCCACGTTTGGGTGGGGATGCAGCATCAGGGAGGTTTCCAGTACAGCTCGGACTCCTGTGAATGTGGTCCCAGCTGGCCTGCTAAAGATGACTGAGGTGACAGATGACTGGCAGAACTAGGAACTGTGCGTAATTTTGTGGAGTCCTTTTCTTTAATCATAAGATCACTTGATCACTTATAAAAGCAATTTGCAGCTCCTCTTGATCTTTGTCCTGCCTTACTAAAACCCTAAACTAAAAATAAAGGCTGTGAATAAAGAAGTGGAATAAAGTCCTGACGGTAACAAGCACATAATGTAATGCATGACAGGCTTCAAATGAATTCAGAATTAATTGCAAAGAACAGGAGGAAACGTTATTGCTAATGATTTCTTCCTAGTTCAGCCTGAGACTGAGAGTTAGCTTTTCTTAGTAGTCACCATTACAAGTCAATGCACGTAAAGTAACGCAGAGTCATAAAGGCAGGATGGCCAGGCTGGAGGACATAGGAATTCACTAAATCTCGCTATAAATAAGTTTGCCTATCCCAAACTTTCAACTGCTCTGAAAACTCTTTTCCTGCCTTTTTACAGCCTGACACTGAATAAGTAGGAAACAGCTCTTTCCGAAAGAAGGATTTCACACATTTCTAAGAATTGCAGTTTTGTTTCAGTTAAAATCCTGCATTTTTACAGCACCATATTAATAGCAAGGGCATCAGGCTTAGACTTACCCCCTCACAGCAAAGAGCAAGTCAGGAGAAATGGTTAGAGGAGCCGAGAACCGCGAGCACTTTTATGCCTTTTCTTAGGCAATCAGGAGGATATGAAACATTCTTCATGTATGATGTCCTAATGTGTTATCAAACAAAAATTCACTCCACCTGTAACTGCCCCAGATAATGCAATTATTTTGCTCAGCGATGGTGATTACTATTGCGTTCTTGTTATTACTCTGGCAGAGTAATGTTTTTCTTTTATTGCTTTTTCCTATTTCTCTGATTGCCTCATACAGCAAAGATTGCCCAGAGTTTATCCATAAATACAATATGCCGTCATACCTGAGATACTACCCCACTTTTCCAAGTAATGTTCCAGTAAGGGGTCATTGTGCAATTTATCCCATCATATCCATGCATGTTAATTCCTATGACTCTGATATGAGGCACATTAGACTCCATAGACACCTTCCTACTGAGTTATAGGTTTGGAAATGGGAAGCATTTGTTCCCATCCTCCTGGCCAAAAACCAAACACATAGTACAGGTCCCACTTCAAGATTTAAAAGGACAAGTGGCGTAACCTTTAAGCAGAAGCTGCTGTTATCCAGCCCTGGCATGGGGGACAGGAGCCTCAGACAATGAGAAATTCAGTATCTACCTTTCATTGTCAGGGGCTCCATGGGATCATTGCTGAAGACCTCAGGGCTCCTGAGTGATGAACGATTCATGGTTTGGGATGAAACAAGTCAGGGAGTGAAGCCATGCATCACCCTAAGAAAACCTTGGGCTGGAATCTTAAAGTGCAGTTTCAGCTGATGCAGAAGATTGGCTGCTTACTTCAGCATATTTCTTCTTCAGATCCACTACCCTGTCTTAGTTCTTCAGTTATTTACTGATAAAACTATTTCCGGTAGTGTCTATCCATTTTGTGTATCCAAGCTGACATAATTTACAAATGAATTTTTAATCTCAAATATATGAGTTCTTCCCCTCTAAAACCCAGCCCCTTCTACACAGTTTAAGATTGAATGCTTGGTTTTGAGTAACCTTGAGACTTCTGTTCTAAAATGTTGATTTTATTCCAGCTTGTCCATCGGCATTTGGTAACTGTTACCAATACTGCAGTGTAATACTGTACAGGTGACGCATGCAAGAAGGTTGAAGAAGAAGCCTATTTTCCAGGGCGGCCTTGGGATTTCCCTCAGTGTTGTTTCCCAGTAATGCCAGCAGAGACATCCTTTAAAGCTACTGATAGTTTATGGTAGAGGATTCACATACATGAGAAACGGGAACAGAAACAAAGGGAAGAAAATGTTGTGGGGAAACAACCCACCCGCTCTGCTCCTCCTGCCCGAACCACACCTGGTTTCACTTTGTCTGGAAGCAGGTGATGACAGTGTTGACATATACCTATAGATACTTACAGATGAATCACATAATTCTTGGAGATGCATCCCTCTTCTAACCACCCTGCCCTCCTGATAGGGCAAAGGGAGCTACATACTAGTATCAATACTGCTACACCCCAAACTGCTTCTTTTGACTCATGATGCTCAGGGTAAGAGCCTCATGTTTTGTTTTTATAATTTTATGGACCCACAAAGTGGCATCTGGATGCCATCTTAATGTTTTTTCCCATATGATAGAAGTTTCATGTGCTTTACCAACTTAAACCATTCACAGACATTTTTGCCAGTGCAAATATGGTATAGAAAAATATTCAGAGACAAATAGCTCTATGAAAAGCCAAGTTAGCATGACATATGGACTACCTTTGCACAGATTCCTCATATGACGAATCACAGTACTGCTGTGGCACATATGGATCCATAGTACACAAACTATCACCAAACCCATTTACTAAATTAGCGTAAAATGTTTTTATCTATATCAAGCACATAATTTTATAGTAACACCATCAAAAAAAGGCATTCAAATACATCTGCAAAACCTTCCATTAATTGATTTTGGATCCTTTCCTTACAGGCACGACTAAAAACTCTTCCTGGCTGGCTTGGATGAACATCACAATCAAGACAAGCAAAAGGACAATCCTTTGTTTCAGTTTGTAATTGAAATCCAAACTCTGCTCAGGATGCCCTGGTTTTACTGTGCAATCCTTCCAAGCCCATGGTGGACGGCTTTGGAGTCATCCATCCAACAGTGTATCTATCTCATACAGTGTGGGTGGAATTTGTCTCATCTGGTAACACAGCACACCCAGGTTGTAATGGCATGTCTACTACACCCTAGGAGGAGTCAAATAACAGCACACAAGTGAGTGAGCCATCCGAGAGAAGGAGAATGCAGTGAAAAAGGAGTAACTGCCAACAAGGAGGGGTTGAGTAGCACTTTCTGTTTGAAGAACACTATTTCTAAGTTCTTAAAAAATAACATTTATGCCTCGTATGACTATATTTCAAGCCAAAAAGCATGACTGCTGTTGACATGGACACATTAAACTCTGGTGCTAGAATGGCCACAAAACGTAGCTGGGACCATGAAATAAATATTCATAGGGATAATGAAAGACTCAGCACTGCGCTCTTGTGGCTTAGCTGAGAGCGTGACTCAAGCTGAGTAAATCAGAGTTATCTCATACACCTCTAGACGAAGTGAATTCATGTCTCTGAGCTGAAGCACTGGCATATCCTCAACTTGCTCTGAAAATTGTGATGCCATTTCCAGATCAGAATTACTGATGCATACCTAGGACCTCCTCAGATAGCACTGCTGTCAAGATGAAAGTGTCTTTTTGGGGCAGTGGTTGGTTTTTTCTGAGATGACACCCAACTGTCCTCAGCCTCCTTGGGAACAGAGAGATTATCCAGTTTCCAGCAGTTCCTTTCTTGGAGGCTTTGCTTTCTTAAAAATCTTCCTCAAATATCACAGCTGCTTGTATAATTATGAGGATATAACTGTGTAACAACAGACTCTTTTGTCTGATATAAGAAGAATACAACCCTAACAGCCCAATCGGGCACAGGACGCCATCTTACTGCAGTCTGCTATTAAAGTACTTCTAGGCTATATTCCCATGTGTCCCAAAGACGTGATTTTGTTATTTTCTTCAAAACACTGTGCAAGGTTCAGGCAGATCCTCAAGCACAGTGACAACACAGACATAAAGTAAGGACAAAAGTAAAATGGATATATTTATCCGAATATAAAAATATATCTATGCTAAATATTAACATATAGTAACCCTAATAACAACACTCTGCATACGTATTCTTTGAGTGAGTCCTGAAGCACACATACTTCCCAGTGCAAAAGCATTTTTATGGTGTAAGATAACTGTGTACGATGCTGATTCTGGTTCCAGTTGCTGGGAAGGAGGAATTATGCATTGCACAGGATGTATCCTGGCTCTGTTTTATAATCATCAGCTAATAAAGAGATGTAAGGGAGAGTGGTATAAAGAAAGGTGGAATAAAACAAAAAAAATATGCTAATATTAGGCTGCAGCATGATTTTTATTAAGAACAAGAAATGGCATTTACACTAATAACAAACAAAAAATTGAAGGAATATTTCCAGTTTCTCAGACCCGATTACAAACAATTCGTCAACGAAGAATGAATATTTCACACATGGTGTTCTTTCTTCCCCACGGCAAATCTAATTTTGCCAACCAAGTTCTTCTTTGCAGCATGCAGGAAGGCTTTGTTGAGCACAGAATCCTAACATATGGGAGAGCAAAGCAACTTCCCTGATATAAATTTTGTTACATCTTCTAGGTTGAACATAAAAACAGAAAACCAGTACATGTGTTAACAGAGAGGCTAAAGAACAAAATGGCCCAATTTCTCACTCATACTGTCAGAATGGAAAACACACATTTTGAGAAACCAGTGGAGGTTTGCAGCAACACATCACAAGCAAAATAGCATAAGAAGGACAAGCAGAAGA